TGCGCATTTGTACCAAAAATACGCCTCTGAAGGCAAAGTGCGTCCTTGTAAAAATTCCGTATTTTAATGCCTGGTTTATGTGTCATGAAGTACTGACTTAACTGACAATGAGATCATTTATTAATTAGTGTTAAAAAACTCATTAATAATTCAGGAGGAAAACACAAAGAAAGATCACAAGCGTGTCGTATCTTTATATGTGATTATTTTAAAAATTACTTCGCCAATGAACTCATATAAGATGAGTCGTTTTTTAAGCCATTTAAAGCACTTGTAGTCGTGTTTTATCAGATATAAAACGCTCGGCTGCGCCTCGCGTTTTATATCTATATATCTGATAAAACACTCCTACGCGTGCTTTAAATAGTACATAAACTTTAAGATGTTTTAAAATGTAAACCCAGCTCAAGCTCATTCATTGTTATAACAACAATGCAGACCTGCCAAGTTCGGAAGATATAAGAATGCGTGACCAGGGCCGTTGCGAGGACTTTGCCTTTGGTTAGATTTACCGCCTGAATTGTTTCAATTCACCTGATTTTGCGACGCCCACGAGGCGCCATCATAGTTGGCGCCGAGCAAAAAATTTTGAAAATTTGAATTCTCTAGACCGTCGGAAATAGCATTTTTAGAGTCTTTCCTACCCAAGATTTCAATGTTTTACTACTGCCTAACAGTGAAGATAACTAAAATAACTACTGATCAATATGACAGTGTTACTTACAGTTTAATGTAACTAGGAAATTTGAGAAAATTTTGGAAATTTGGAGTCTCCAGATCGTCATAAAGCGTATTTGGCCATGTACCGCAGGCCACGATAGGTCTGACAATGTGACTACTGACTAGTTGGGGTTTTTTCTACGCTAATTTTAATAAAGTATAAACTGCTGTCAACGTGTAAATGCTAGTATAATGCATAATTATGTGATATCGCCCTGCAATTTTTTCTGCAAGCGTTTATGATCATGAAAAAATACGTTCATACACCGAATAATCAACGCCGCACGCTGTATATAATAATTTAAGTTCGGATTGGATTACGAATTTTAGAATCGGATCGGATTTTTATAAACATTTTTTCGGATCGGATCGCTTTTTTCATCTTCGGATCGGACCGGATTCGGATTGAGAACTTAGACAAACCATCGGATTCAAAGAGGTCAATCCGATCCGACGCACACCTTTAATAAATTCCAACATGAGCTCCACTTTTCATGTTTTTAAAAAAAATAGTTTTTAAAAAAGTTTTAAAAAGTTTTAAAAGAGTTTTGAAAAGCAAAAAAAGTTTAAAAAGTTAGATTTTTAAAAAAGTTAAAAAAATTTAAAAAGTTAAAAAAATGAGGGTTAGGGGTTAGTGGTTAGGGGTTAGGGGTTAGGGGTTAGGGGTTAGTGGTTAGGGTTGGGGTTGGGGTTAGGGTTAGTGTTAGGTGCCGCGAATTTATTATTATGATAAATTCAAAATTTGCCGCGAATTTATCATAATGATAAATTCGGACGTGTTTAAGAATTTACTCATATAGTAAATTCAAAGGTGGAGCTCATGCTGATAAATTCATGTTCACGATGTTTTGTGCTTGAAATCTGCTAAAGAGTAAATGAGTGAAATTATATAGTCACTTTTACGCACTGGTTACACCGTAAAATTAAAATGACCAATCTATTTGAATTCGTTATCTCAGGTTGTTTTAACCGATCCGTTTTTACAATGTATTCTGCCGACATTGCACCACGATATAACATGCTTCAGTGACGAACTTTTAGTGAACCAAAAATATTCACCACGTTTTCTCTTAAATTGTGGCCATGCGGTTCTAAAAATCCCACTAAGGCGCCAGTCAGAATTCACTGTGTGTTTTATAGCCGACGTGCAGCCTCAACCTGAATTTATTAAATATCAAAAATTCGAGATTTAAAGAATTCGGGTTGAGGCTGCATGCAGGCTACTGTTTGTTAGGCCACACGGCTAAGGGAGTGGTTATTATTTATGGGGAGGGGGGTGGTAAATGGGAAGGGAGGCAAACGAAGTTTTACCCTTATAAATAGGGGGGAGGGTCAAAAAGTTTTAACCTAGAGAAAGGAGGGGTCAAAAAAGGTTTTGAACTTAAATACCATGTCTAGAGTACTGAGTTCTATAATCACAAACATGCATAGACTCACAAATCATAATGCCAGAGAGGTAAAGAAGACTCTGAAAATTCCATTTCCAACGATCTAGAGACTCAAAATTTCCCTGCTCGGCACCAACCATGGTACTGATGGTAGCGCCTCGTGGGAGTCGGGCCCACTAAGTTTAACAAGCTTCCTACCCCCTGAGTGACCCAGTTGTGGTATTTACATAAACATACCATGCAAGAAGTACTTAACTGATCAGATTTGGTTTATCAAAGCACAATGTAACGCCAGGGGTGGAAAACATTTTTTTCTTTCTGGGAATCTGGGTCAAAGGCTAGAAATTTTCTTAGCCGCTTTAGGCTGGTTTTTTGTATGCTCGTACATCGCAATGGTCTATTATATTCCACAGTTATGAGTTATCACCAACTAGTAAGGACCTAACGCTTAAGTGTCCTATAATCGTATTTATTCCATCACCTGACTTTTTGTCTGACTTGCATTTTTTTGTTATAATGTTATGTACTATTTAACTCGAGTAGGAGTGTTTTATGTCTGATAAAACACGACAACGAGTGTTTTGAATAGCTTAAAATACGACTACAAAAGAATACTAATTAGGATGAACCATTATATAATCATACTAATTAGGATGAACAATTATATAATGCAACATGCTTCATCAGATATAAAGTCACGTGACACATTATGGCTGACATGATTTGCTACAAGGTTTATGAATTATTAATGAGTATTTTAAGATTATTCTAGTATTATAGCAGTATAATAATGCATTATACCACTGGGACTTGAAGCTTATTTCATTTCATATATATATTTTATTTGTTTACTATTTAATTTGCATTTTATTGGAGACTTCGCAGAGCATATATTTACTATTTTACCTCATTGTGATGGCAGGGACCATGTAACAGAATTAATTTCTGACAACTATTTAAAAGGCTGCTAATGTTAGTGTGTGCAGTGTAAATAAACTGAGTAGAATAGTTGTACGTTGAGCTGGGGCGTAGGAACGGGGGGGGGCAGGCCCCCCAAGTTTTGGCAAGTGCCCTTTTTCCGGGAGCAAAGTACCCTTTTTTTGCATGAAAATTTTTCATTAAAATTGTATTTTTTGCCCAAGGTGCACTTTTGAAAACTTCAATAAACGTTATTTCCAGAAAAATGTTTTAATTTCCGGGAAAAATATCATATATCCGGAAAATATTTTTGGTATTCCGGAAAAATTTTCTCGTATTTAGGAAAAAAATGTGGTATATCCGGAAAATTTTTTAGGATATGTCAGGAAAAATTTTTTGGACCCCTAAAATGGTACACTGACCGAAATTTTTTGGCGACGGTGGGAGGGGGGGGGTAGGTCGCCAAAAAAATTTTTAGATGCCTTTTTATTTCGAAAAGTGCCCCTCAAAGCTTGACCCCCCAACTTTTCGAAGGTTCCTACGCCCCTGACGTTGAGTAAACAGAGTTATCTCAAAATGTTGAAATATTCTCTGGAACTATTTTCTGCGAAACTCTCAACTCAAAAAAATTTCTGGGAACTATGTTCCCAGTTCCGATATTTTTTCCACCTCTGTGTAACGCTGTATATCCAAAAATCTGTTTCAGAAAATGCTCACATTTCAGTCCTAGGGGTGGAAAATAATACCCCCAGATCCCCCTTCTAGTACATACGATACCACACCAAACTTTTTGTCACCAACAACCATCTGTCATCTCTCCACACTCAGTATAGTATGGTCCCTTTTTGTAGGCCCCCCCCTCAGACAAGTTCGTAAAAAAAGTCCTGTGTTCAAATCATTTCGCTGTTTGAAGACGGGCAATGGGTTAGGGTTATGGTAGGACAAATGTTGCACTGCAAAGTAGTAACACATAATATATATTTTTAATTACATATGGTTGATTCATATTTACCAGGGTAAAACATCATGAGCTAGATTAAACAGATTGTCCTAATATCTAACTTTACCTGCAACGCACACCTGTTTCATTGCTGTTAATTTTTCAATCCACACTGGGGGGGGAGTCAGAAAAGTTTCTACTTTTATGAGGGGGGGGCACAAAAAGTTTTCTTTCAGTCTAGAGGGGAGAGGTCAAAAAAGTTTTAAATCCTTATTTTTCCCCATTTAACACCCCCTGCCCATAAATAATGACCACTCCCTAAGTTTAAGTAATGAAATCAATTCAGCCAAGTTTTTTCCTGCGATTTTCTTTGTGTTTGTACTAAGAATTGATACTTACCAATGCAGCAGTTGGGAAGTACCTAACTGATGCAGGACATGGTACATTTATACTAGATATCTAGCTGCAGGAATAGGGCCTCTTAGGCGTAAAAAAAAATATCTGTGGTTCCGGTTTCATATCGTGAAAAAATTAGGGTCGGTAGGTCGGAAATAAATTTTTGAATATTTTTTTCATGGTTTTGCCGGTTTTTTGGTGGGCGATTTGCAGTAGAGTCCCGACATCAATATTAACTAGAGGTGCGTATTTCCTATGGACGAATTGAGGCAATTTGGTTCAATAATTATTTTGACAACAGACGCCATTTTGGCACGCTGTATGAGCAGCCCGCAACCACCTGGAACCAGGGTTGCATGGTCAATCGCGTTGAAAAATAACAGGGTCGGCAGAAAAAAATAGGGTCGTTCGGGAACCGGAACCACAGGTATTTTTTTTTTACGCCTTATCCTTGGTTGAAATCATGGCCATAGATCGCTGAGAGCTTCAGTTCAGGTCTAACTGCTTTAGGTTGTCCCTAGGTCAGATCTTAGTATCTACACTAAACGCCATTTTTATTGTGATTGCATGTCCGACAATGGCAATAAAAATGACGTTATGATTGTCCTATAAACATATTCTGTGTCGTTGTTTTAGCAATGATAGCTTACCGAGTGTTCAGCAAAGAGAGCAAAGCGTGGGTGAAATGGTTGCACATGATTATCCAGGCGATTGCGTTTGCTTTTGGTTGTGTTGGTTTAAAGGCAGCTTTTGATTTTCACGCAGCACAACATTCTCCCCATTTGTACAGTTTGCATTCTTGGATTGGAATGGGATGTTTTGTTTTATTCACCTGTCAGGTATATTAGTATTTACAGCCTTCAGTGATTTGTAGTTCAAAGCCCATTTTTTACTTTAAGGCCACTTCAAACCAGTCCAACATATGGATCCAACATTGTAATATGCAACATTGTTGGGTTTGAGCATTATAATGTTGGATGATGATGATGTTGCATCAGTTTGATCGTCCACTATTATCAGGCCAACAATGATGTACGATGTTGGACAACTCGAATTTGAATGATCATTAATGAAACTTTCAGTGGTGAAAAAATTTGAATAACACGTGAAGAATTATTATTTTGTTTTCTAAAATCATGATTTGGTCAGGGTGAGTGAGGTCTCTCCTCCGCAGAGCCTCCTTAAGTATTTATAAATAATTTATATGGGGTTTCCTGAATAAAAGCGAGCGCGCGCGGAGTGATGGGAAGATCTTCCCATCACCCCTTTGGCGCTCACTTTTCCCTCACTAGAAACTTCATGTAAGCCTCTGCGGAGGAGAGAGGTGGGTGAGCGTTGGCACATGGGAATATTACGTCACGCTAAGAAATTCGCGATTTTGGATGGCAAAATATATATTTAGGTACAGCATTGTATATAAACATTGCGTAATAGGTTAGTAGGCTAAGGTAATAATGTCAGCCCTAACTTCAGCCTCCATGGTATATTTTTTGCATGGCTACATGAAGTACATACCGTTTATTCGGGTTGAGCCCCCGTCGTCCAGTGCCCAGCTCAGGCCATTAAAGGAAACCCCTGTCTGAATTCGACAGAAAATGACCTTATTAAGCTTGTTAAATGAAAGCAATCATTTGAAGTAAAATCGAAGTAAAATTGGAAACGTTTTACGGCTAATTTATACCGTGAATGTCTTTATTTAACATTTGCCATCCAAAATGGTGGACATCAAGCAATAACGCCGTGATATCGAGATGATGACATGAAACTTGTTTTGCGTTTGTTAAGGCTGGTTTACACTGTCAAACTTGTTCTGTGATCATAGTATAGGAATTTTGCATACTAAATAAATTCTAAGTTTTGAAGGATTTGTAAGAAATGATTGAGGGAACTGTCTCGGTGTTAGACGCCATGATATCGAGGTGTTGTGACGTCATATCCATGAGCTGAATAAATGCATGGGTGACATGAAACTTATCAGTTTGCGTTTGTTAAGGCTGGTTTACACTGTCAAATTTTCTGTGATCATAGTAGGAATTTTGCATACTAGATAAATTCTATGTTTTGAAGGATTTCATTTTGTAAGAAATGTTCAGGGAACTGTCTCGGTGTTAGACAGTGAGTCAATTCCCTCAAACATTTCTTACAAATCCTTCAAAACTTATAATTTTGGCTAATTTTCATTATTCATGCCTTGGGGTAGCACCGAAGAGGAATGGGGTGGGTAACAATTTTTTTCACTTGCACAAAGCCAAAGGGTGGGTAAAAAAATAAGTGTCTTTCAAGGAATACCCTGGGAGTAGGAGTACCTAGTGATTAGTATTTAAAAGAAATAATCCAAGGTCATTGGAACAAAACTATATTTTGTAACAATAAATACATTCAACATAATACATTCTCAACATCTAAACATTGGCCACGTGTACAGTTCAAACAACAGTCCGTCAGTCTGATTTGTTTCTAATTGTTCTCAGATGAGTCAGAGTCGCTGCTCAATTAAATCTGATAACGCCACAGTTAACTTCAAGTGTGAAATACTCTTGATCAGTCTTTACAAGTGATTCACAACTAATAACACTCCTTCCTTTCTCTCCATAAATACGTATAATATCTTCAATTTCATCTTCTGTATAGCCATTCTGTTTGAGCATACCTGGGTGTTTCAGAGTAATGTCGTTTTGGATATTTTCCTGTTCTTACGTTTTTGCTCACTCTTTCTCTCGCCTTCTCTTCCTTTTTATTTCAAAATCTACACTACATTGGAGACATCTTTGTTGGGCTGCTTGGCGGTATTTGCAACATCGTCTTTTCAATTTTGCTCACCTGAACTCTCAACTGACTTCCTTCTTCAACAAATCTGCTGACCGAATTTCATTTTCATTCCTTGCCCATTTTTTTCAATTCCATATGATCATCAAACAGCTCTGAGTGAGTTTCCGTTTATTCATTTGTTAGAGTTTGCAGTTAAGTTGCTTCCAGCATTTACGTACTTCCTTGCAATGGAAGTGTCCTGAACAGGTTTAAATGTATTCGTCTGGGTTACTTCTTGTCTTTTGGAAGCGGATCTTAAAGACGTAAACACTTTTTGAACTTCAGTAGATGGCGATGCTTTGTAATTCCCAATATCTGAAACATCTGGCTCTCTTCGTCGTGATCCATCGTTGCATTTGGTATGGACTTCATAAGCATTTTATACCTACTGTACTGTTATACTAAATTACCATAAGATCAATACTTGAAAAAAACTGTTCTAAAATAATTTTTAAAATCTTGAATTTAGCAAGGGTTGAGTAAAAAAAATTGAACCCCAAAACTGGTTGGGTAAATAAATTTTTTTTAGCAATTTTCAGTTTCTCTTCGGTGCCAACACGATGCATATATAATGAACGTTCCCTTATCTATGCAAAATTCCGACTATGAATAGTCTATGATCACAGAAACTTTGGTAGTGTAATCAGCCTTTAATCTAATCAAATAGCCTGGCATCCTCATTGGCTGAGCATAATGAAACTTGAAGATCCATTCTCAAACTCATTATTTTCAAAAGAAATGCATATTAAGTTCTTTGTATGTTTGCATGGCGAAAAATATAATAGTTTTGTTTGTGGAAACACCACGTAAATTTATTACTGCAAAGCTTTCGATCCGTAAGCCCGGATCTTCATCAGTGCTAATAATAATATTAATAATATAGTAATATAATAATATTATTAGCACTGATGAAGATCCGGGCTTACGGATCGAAAGCTTTGCAGTAATAAATTTACGTGGTGTTTCCACAAACAAAACTATTAAATGCATATTAATTCAAAAGAAATGCATATTAATTCTGTATTTAGAAATAAGGGGAAGATTACAGCCGTTTTTCGTCAACTTTAAACTCGATTTTCTCTTAAAGTATTGATTCGTTTGAGAAGCTATATCCAACACTTGCAAATGTTCTTCCTCTGATTTAATTCTAAATACAGACAAGCTGGTTAAAAAAACTCGGCTTCACCTCGTATTTTCAACCTGCTTGTCTGTATTTAGAAATCAGAGGAAGAACACTTACTCGTGTTGGATATATAAAATAAACAGTGGAATAGAATAAAAATAGAATAAAAAATTATGAGCCTTGACAGTGGTCTGACAAGACTGAAAATTTGGGTCAAATCAGGAGGAGGTCCATTTTAATTAATTTGGCCAGATTTCGGGAAAAATTGGCCCAGATAAGAAACGGAAATTCTAATCTGCATGACTGCTCTGACCAACCAAATGGCAAGCGCCCAACTTTTTTATTTGGTTCATCCTGAAATAAAAACGTTACACAAAGACAAGTATAGTCGTATTCTCATGAAATGGATTTATTTCCTAATCCCTTTTAGCTTGTTTGTGGATTCTTGGGCTTCATGTATCCTAAGTTTCCTGATGCACTCAGAGCAGCATATCTAAAAGTACACGTGTTTTTTGGTACAGCCATATTCTTACTGGCGGTTGCAGCCTGTTTGACTGGTATTACTGAACAGGCCCTTTGGTCAATAGGGTAAGTAGCTTATCATGTAGAGTATATTTTTTATTATAGTTTCCGGCAATATTTGACTCAATATATAGTACTTGCACAGTACAGTAAGTACAATACAGACAGTAAAGTAAGGGTACAGTATAATACAGCACAGTACAGTACATTTAAGTACATTATAGATAATAGACAGTATAATAGAGTTTAGTGTATGCAGTTGGTTAATTGAATACAGTACAATGGAGTACATTAAATAGAGATTCAAACATCATTAATAATTCATAAGCTTATTGGCAAATCATGTCAATCATAATATGTCACGTGCAGTGGCTTTAAACCTGATAAAACACTCCTAATTAGTATTCTTTATATAAAGAATACTAATAAGGCAGTATATCTATTGAATTTGTAGTCGTGTTTGAAGCCGTTTAATAACCTCACAGGTCGTGTTTTATTTATAGGTCTAAAGCCACTCGCGCTGCGCGCTCCCACATGCTTTAAACGTAATAAAGCACTCCTACTCGTGTTTTAAATAGTATACATAAAACATGGGGGTGCGCGCGGAAATACCAGATTTATTTCTCGTATTGAACATGACATGTCAAGAGTGAGGGCAACGATCGAACGAGTGAGATATCATGTTCAACACGAGAAATAAATCTGGTATTTCCAAGCATCCATGTATTTTTCTGTTTATTATATAAAGGACAGTCTTTGAAAAGCGATAATTTTTACAGAAAAGCGATAATTTTCACATGTGAAATTATCATAAATAATCTCGCATGTGAGATTATCAGTTTTATCAGTCCTCGAAATCTCTATACAGGGTGTCCCAAAAAAAATGTCCCCTGTCATATTTGGTGGTATTACTTCGCTATATTTAATCAAAGGTTCAATGTTTTTGCAATGGGTTGAAAAACAATCATATTATATTAATCGTAGTATTTATCTCACCAAAATTCTTAATAGTTCGGCTTCTAGAGATACTTAAGGTGGCGACACCAATTTTGCAACCCGTCCAAATTTCAGAAATTAGGTTAAAAATAATGCAAACTTTGTAGAAGGATTTCTAAAATTTCTACCCACCTTTCTGCTCAACAACAAAATGTTTTTTATCTCTATTATTAAACTTTTGTTTCTTGTAGAAATTAATAAAAAAAAAATAAGAAAAATCCCTGGCAAATTGACAAAGGCAAAGCTAGGGTTGGGAAAATGCCTTAAATTTGCTGTTTTCCGTTCAATTTGTTCCATGAAAGAGCAAATGTTGGAATTTCAGCACTAGTCTTTCCCCTTTTCTGGGGATTGCTTCATTATTTTTACAGAAAATTAATTCGCGATTTTGGCTACAACTAATTACAAGTTTTAGAAAAGATATGTAGCCATTTACCATTAAAATATTTTATTACGTTCCGTAATATGTTTAAACCTAATATCCACAATTTGGACAAGTGGCAATATTGGTGTCGCCACCTTAAGTAACTCTAGAAGGCGAACGGTAAAATATTTTGATGCGAAAAAATGCAACGATTAACGTAACTGTTCATTTATAAAAAAAAATGAAAAAGTTTGAATATTCGATTACAGGTAAGTAGGTAACGATGTAGTACCACAAAATATGATAGGGGACATTTTTTTTGAGACACCCTGTAAAGACCTATACTTTATATAATAAAGTACAATAAAGTATAGTATGGAACAATTCAGTGGAGTATAGTATAGTACATACAGATTACAGTGCAATGTTTTCAGTACGGTGCGATTAATGAAGTGGATTGTAGCACAGTACAGTACAGTACAGTACAGTACAGTACACCGAACAATACCACACAACAACAACACAACACAACACAACACACTGCAGACATTAATTCAGCTGTTACAAACAATAGGCCGCGACTAAATTAGCAATGAAAGCATACAGGGTGAGTAAAAAAAAACTGACACCTATGCGGCTAATTTGAATATCAAAGGTATCAGTTTTTTTTACTCACCCTGTACATAAGAATAGTTTACTTCATAGAAATACAGTTGTTTATGTTCAATTTTCTTCCATTTTGGCAGAGCCATTTACGGTAATCTTCCTCCTGTGGCCCTTGTGATCAACTGTCTTGGTGGCGCTCTGGTACTACATGGAGGTGTTACATATTTTCTCACAACAAATGACCGTTTCAAGCAAACTGCATCAAGTGAAGAGCATCAAGAATTACTGGATCGTTCGGCCGGTGATGCTGAGTCTAAACAATAGATAGAGATCATGAACATTGCTATCAATCCTATCATACTGTAGATCTGTAGAGTTGTTAAGACTTAAGAGTTGTTAAGTGAGTAGCATAATATTGTATTGTAGTGCTTTCGGTACTAGTTAAATGTGTTGTACAAACCACAACATGTTCTTATTAAATATATGTGCATTGAAAAAATTAACTCATACCTAGTCGTACGTTATACTGATTTCTGAGGTTCCTTTCGCACGAGACCATGGGCATGGCACCATGCAGATGTATTTGCCTGCAGTGAGTATTAGGTCTCCTTAATCTGAAAAATAAAATGAGAGGATTGACTATTTAGACGTTTTGATGCAAGGCCAAAATGTAAATTATTAAGCTTCGGATACACGAGCAATGTTTTTGCTGCGATGGTCACGCAATGGGTGATAACAGCATTGCGTTGCCGTCGCACAAGGTGGCTACTCCTGCAATATTTCACCTGCAATATGTGTCTTCATAACGCTTTTCATTGGCTGGTCAAGAAACGTGTCATTCATCAACCTTGACCTTCCTTGACCACACCTACCAATTTTCGGCAATCATTGCCGAAAATCAAATGATTTGAAATTTCGGCAACGATTGCGCGCAGCTTTGCGTTGCCGTCGCAGAGCATGATACGCAAGCAATTTCTTTCTCGCGACGGCAATGCAACGATTTTACCACCATTGCATTGCCATCGCCAGAAAAGTATTGCCCGTGTATCCGTAGCTTTATTCCAATGCTTAATACGGGGAAATTTATATATGGAGTTTACAGTACATCAAGTACTGGTTGTTAGTGTTATTACAGTAATAAAAGTCATAAAACGACTGCTGCTGACGTGACTGATACTTATAAATCGTTATTAATATTATAATTGTCAAACGAACGGATACTGGATTTGCCGTTGAAAGTCAAAGGACTACTGGTTCTGTTCCTTGTGCTCAATTCCAGCGAAATCACTAGTGCAAATCCCATCATAGGCGTACGAGATTAGGGATTTCCGGGTTTAGACACTTCTGCAGACGACAGAGCCGGAGGCCAGTTAGTACAGCTTTTCTGGCGACGGGAAGATCCGCATGAGAAGATACTCGTAATCACACTAGATGCTTGGCATATTTGCAATACTTTTTTGTGGATTGACACTCTCAAATAGCTTCTCTGGGTTGACATTGGCTTTGCTGTTTGAAGGAAGTGACAACATAGAGGTTCAGATTTGACTTTCGCCACCGCTTCCTCTCACTGTCTTAAGGCGGTTTTCCAGTCCTCGTACGAAGCTCCTCGCAGCTTGCTGCGAGTGCTTGCATCTAATTAAAATTAACGGTTTAGCATTGTGATTGGATGAAAGTGCTCATGCATCACTCGCAGGAGCTTCGTGCGAGGAATGGAAATCCGCCTTTAGATGGCATCTGATTGGTTAATTAGTTTAGGTAATAGCATGGTTTCGAGTGCAATTTGGATATAACATGCACGAGTGAGTTTTTCAAAGACCTCAAATTAGCACGAGTCCGAAGGACGATTGCTATTTGAGGTCTTTGAAAAACTCACGAGTGCATGTTCAGATCCAAATTATTCACGAGAAACCATGCATGCTATTATACTTATTAATAATTTACATAAAAATGTTCGAGACAATTGTAGTTTTAACTTACGCGTTCATAGCGAAGATTCCACTGGAAAAGTTTTCCTGGCTTTGTTATATCACATTATACAACGCTAACAGCTTGAAAATTTCACTCAACTCGGTAATTTTTGTTAGTTTTTAATTGTTTAAGGTCTTGCTTTTCCATTTAAAAATAAAGATAAAAGCCATATTTTCCACGCAAAGGCAACTTTTACTTTATGTAGCGCGGCGCCATCAGCCATGTTTGTTTTGTTTTGAAGCAATCTGTGACCATTCATCTCAGTTTAAACCAAATCAGCTTTAAACTGATTGGTTGATTTAATCATCACAATGTTTTTCCACCAATCAGATCAGTTTGTTACAGATTTTTGCACTGTGATAGTGTGATTACAAAAAATTGCACTGTACGTGATTACAAAAAATTGCACTATGATTACAGAAAATTGCACTGTGATTACAGAAAATTGCACTGCTGTTTGGGATTAACTGCACTGAAATCAACCAATCACAGTCGAGTATTATATCTTTATGTATATTATTAATCGGATTATCAAGGGTATCTGATTGGTTAATGGTCCCTTAATGGTAGCGGTTGTAGAAATCAAATCTTAACCTCTCTATTAATACGATGTAGGACGGCAACGGGACGACGGTCAGAACAAACTTATTCAAATAATAATTGTACGTAGAAATAATTATGAATTTAGTTTTCGCAAGATGAAAGATGAATCAAGCCCTCAGTTTGTGTTATCAATCTCAACCCCTTTTTGCAAGATATGAAGAATTATCAAGCGGAAGCTCGAAGTTTGTATGTTATATGTAAACAACGAGTTTGAGTGTTTCATCAGGGGATCCAAACACGAGAAAACTGTATGAAACACGAGCGCGAAGCGCGAGTGTTTTATTGTTTTCGAGTGTTTGGTCCCCTGATGAAACACGAGAAACGAGTTGTTTACACAACATCTCAAACGAAAACATTTCATTGGCTTATATATATTATTATAGTATATTGTTGTGTTTTGACTTGAATTTGTAATTAGGATCTCAGTTATTAGATGAAAACCGCTTTTCATCTAACAACAGTGATGGTATATGATTTTTAGCGTGTTTCCTTGCGGTATCCAACCTCAATCATGTGACGAATTAGGGTGAGTTCATTCGCTAATTTGCTCATGAATTATTAATGAGTTTGAGATTGATAAGTGATAACACAAACATGCTCAATCTCATTCAACGAATACGAAATTGCGTATATTTATTTATTCTACGAATTACCCCACTCCGTTAATTAAAGTACCACATTAGAATTACAAAATAAGGCGCAAGCGAACAGTGCCTTTTTTAAGGAATTTTCACTGGGGCAAAACAGGAAAAAAAAGGCAGAACGAAAAATATGAGCCATCGAGGTTTGGTGAACGCGCGAGTCTGAAAACTTAAATTTATTAACTTCAGCTATATTTTACTTTAAACAATAACTTCAACTCTTTGTAGCTATAATCGTACAGCTATAACCAGTGGCGTAGCCAGACCTTATTTTTTTTTTGGGGGGGGACCTCATGCACGCCGAAGTGTGAGACCGGGTCTGTGTCACTTCATTTCCTCTCTGTGATGCTGGGGAGGGGGGAGAAAATCCCAATGTGATTTTCATCAAAAATGTTGCATTTAAATCATTTTAGGTTCTATGAGACACCATTTCCGAATTCTCAAAATTGCGTTGCTTTTTCATACGATACAGAATAAATCTGAGAAGAAATATTCATGCTATGATGATGCATACATGTATTTAACAGTTAAAAATCTAAACTAAATCTATTCTTCTTGGAACCAGCATTTTATCGGATTGTTTGCATGAAATCTATCGCTATTATGAAATACTCGGTGAAGAAAAATATGAATTACACACAAGATGGCTGTGGAGGAGGCTATGGAAGGGCATAATATAATCTCATTATCAAGTAAATCAACTGCTATTCTGACAGCAATCATGAGCAATTCTGCTTCGCACTTCGGGGGGCAGAAATGGCTTTACTGGGGGGGGAGAATTCTTTCCCTGGGGGGGCAATTGCCCCCCCCCAGATATATAGTTAAAAAAGGCACTGCAAGCGAAACGTCCGAAGAACTACTAGGTATAATGTACATATTCAACCACTCAGAATTCTTACTAAAGTGCACATGACATTATATTTCCAGGTATTATCGACGTCTAACATTGTGTGGTACTTCCCGATAAGATTAAAATTGCAAGTCCAGTGTAAACGGGCCTTTTTAAATTTGTCCGTGTCAGCCCGTCCGTATCAGTGGTCCGTATCCGCATTTTATCAACCACATGTCTCATCAGTTTATTTTACTGATAACTGAAAACATATATTTACTACAAATTGTACCAAATTTCTTGTCTAGCCTCCGTGGCCTAAAGGATAAGGCGTCGGCCTCCTAAGCCGAAGATTGCGGGTTCGAATCCCGTCGGAGGTGTAGAATTATGGAAATTATTTTTTTCTTACTCGTAACATTTTTTTCATGAAAAGAACCATACTTTTATTTCTTTTCGGTAAGTTCATTGTAAAAGACAATTTTTTTTACCAAATAATAATTTTAACTTTTAACTTATTTGCTCCCTTTGCTTCCATTCTAAGTTGTATTACTCGTCCCCAGATCTCGGACATCGCGCGAAACCCACTGACCTATAACATATTACAGGACGGAGACTATTTAGTATTTACTATTTACATTGATAGAAGCTAACTGTGATAGAAGCAATTCATATATCTTTCTTGTATTAAATTTACAAAAAGTAACCCTCTCCCTCTTCTATATTACACCTTTATCTAGGTGAGAGGCTAAGATTTAACTACCACTACCGCTTATAGTACTCATCGGATCAGTAAATCAGTTTATAAATCGGGTAATGCCTAATGGTATTATAAACGGTAGTACATCACCAGTCACCACATTTCCCCCGTGAAAATGATAGGTCTACGAAAAGATCTAAAGCAGTCTCTTAATTTCCGTACGGGGTTAAGATAAAACATGGATCCAATTTTCTCTAGACTATGACATAATCTATGACTATGAAATATTACGCGGTCCGGAATAGACAATTCCATTAATATAGACTAATTTTAAAACTAGGCAAGGAGATGCAAATAAATCACCACAACTAGAAAGAGCATACTAAAATTAGTAAAATTGCAAAGTTTGGTTAAGAAATGTTGTAAAATGAGGAAAATATAGACTTGCAAAGTTTGCAAATTTTGTACCACATTTGGGCCGAAAATGGTAGCGTGCGCAATTTCCGCATGCAATACAAAAGTATACAAAATTTGCAAACTTTACAAGGCTATATTTTCCGCATTTTACAGCATTTCGCAACCAAACTTTGCAATTTTACTAATTTTAGTATGCTCTTTCTAGCTGTAGTGATTTATTTGCATCTCCTTGCCTAGTTTTCAAATTAGTCTATAATGGGAATTGTCTATTGCTTGAGCAGTTGAGACAAGTCTACACTAAATGAAGAGTCAATACAGCCTTGATGATTTATTGCCCGATACACATCAGTGGATACACCCGTCACCCGAGCCAAACGGCTCATGACACACGTGTTCGACAGGATAGTTTTTGGCGAGGAAGACTAAAAGTGGAAGACATGGAGCAAAACACTCGAATCTCAGGAGAGAACCAACCACACTCTATTCACGCGATTTTTCAAGTGCAGCTGTTGTGTTGAAGCTACTATACGGATTAGCTACCCAACCTAAGAGGTAAGTAAATATACATATTACTTATTAGTCATTACTAGTTCTAGCTAGTGCATGCTGCTGTGAATAGTATTAATCGTACTCACACAGACATGCAGACACAGTGTCAGGATAGACTAGATACTATACTTAAGGTCATGTTACACGAGGCAGTTTTTTCTTCAACTTGAACGAATATATGATACTTTTTGTGTGTGTTCGTGGTATGTACAATAATGTACTCAGGTGAATTATGTGAATATGATGTTTGTGATGTTACATCCACACCAACCACGGTGGGAATCAAACCCGCGACCTTTGGGATAATAGTCATACAGGCTAGTCATAGCGAAGAGCGATGTTAAAAACGTAGTCGCGGAGAAATTGTGCGCATGGCGGCATGGCCCATGGCCTCAGCCGACATTTTTTAGAAAGAGTCGGCAGAGTAGAATGCGGCCATGCTCATATTTCTCTCCGACTGCTTTTTAGCCGATAACATTGTTCTGTATGCGAAATTGCGTTGCAAGTTGCAGCAACATGTTACATGACCTTAAAGTTATATGAATGTAAATTAATGTAAAATGTATGTCATTTCAACCTTGATTGCTCATGTGTAGAGAGTAAGTGGCTAAGTACCATTATCTTAAAACAGCCAGACTGGTTTACTTGGGTGTTGACAAACTTCACAAAAGGTAAGTCTTATTGAATATTGGGATTGTAACACTTTTACTCACATCTACACATGATGAAGAAGACTAGCGAACTTGATTGATTGAATTAATTAAATACCAATAGCTGATATATTGAATGTTATATTATATCTAGGTTATCGCTTGTGGTCATCGATTTGACTTGATCGCCGTTATAAAACATTAGTCATTACCATGCCAGCAAAAGAAGAAGAATTCATCCCGAGAGCCGCCTTCGCTTCTGCCGTGACCAGCTCACAGTTGTTTGGTGTTGTTGCGATGATTATGACTGGTATTTGGATGTCAAAGTATGAAGACGGCTTTGCCTGGGATGGCTCGGATAAACAATTTAATTATCATCCACTGTTTATGGTTATCGGCCTCGTGTTTTTGAACGCCGAAGGTACGTTACAATATTATTATCTTTCAAAGACCATACACGTAATCTGCGGCAACGAATCGATAGTGCCAGGTTTTGGGTCAATTTTGAGTCAAAGACATAATGTTAATGTGCAATCATATTTCCGCAACAGTGCATGCTCGACCGCATACTTTATAGTTGAAGATATTTAACACTGTCATTGCTGAAAGCTAACTAGCAGTTCTCAATTAAGATTAAATCATCGTCGTTTATATTACTTGAAGTACAAATTAAGCGTCTGGGGCCCCAGTTGCACGATACTGCATTCGCATTCGGATTCGCTTGTCGCAATATTACTATATGCCCTTCAGGAGTAATGGCTGCCCACAAATTTCCCCTTGAACAGTTTTCGTTTTATTTTGACACATTATCCCAAATTTTAAGTTTTAAATTCGATGTCGTGACAAAGCGAATCCGGTGTCGTGTAACTGGGGCTTGAATTGATTATGAATTGATCGAGAAAGATTCCAATTCCTAATTCAGTTTAAACATTCGAACATTCCTTGGTTCCATGGGTTCCGCAACATTGCGTTGAGGTAAATGATTGCACTTAATTAAAATTCAACAGCAAGGATTGCTTGGCGCCTTAGTTTGCTATAAACGGATTTTGTATGTGTTATCGCACTACTGTGTCTATACTATTACCAATGTTGATGAAATACAATCCCGTACCCAGAGCCTACGATATCCTGCGTGAAAGCTGAGGAAAAAATTACACGTTTAATGGTAATTTAACTACATCATATATACATATTTGCTTTTGTGTATGCTTGGTAAACAAATGCTCAAATAAGCGCTGGAATTTAGGTCCTTTATAGTACAACACAGTGCAATGGCGTACATTTTGGTTTTCCAGTGTTCCTTCAGTAACACCACGATAACACATGTACACAGTCACAGGGTTAGTAAAGGACTTTTTACTGACCACCCCACTCTCATGAGCTTTTTCTGGCACAGTTCGAATAGGCGCAACATTATTTTTGAGGGTTGTCAGTGTTTAGCATAGAAATAATTAATAATAGATATCTATTAGCTATGGTGTTTAATCGGGCATATTCGACTTAATCGTGCAATTTTCTAGGCCAGCTGCCTCCCTCGGTATCATGACAATGTATTTTGTCATGATAGTACTTTGAGATCATGCACAAAGGCCTCGGTGACTAAGCAGGCCTTTGTCACAAAGGCCTGCTTAGTCACCGACTGACAGATCTAAATTTTTTTCATTAAATGTGAGAAGTTTTCGACGTATCTTAAAAAATGAAATTGAAGAAATACTATACTAATGGACGGACTATAGATCTGTGTCTTTGATTTATCGTTCTTAGATTGATTTGGTATTTTCGCGAGTCTTTATATAGGATGCGTGTTCCTTCCTATTTGTCTAACCACCACGCACGCCTATATCCATGTGATTACTGGCGCATAACACACGCAACCATACATGTTAATTAAAAAATTCAATATTGAATGCACAACAGTTGCCGGAAACCAAAAAGTATAAGTAGGGTGTCAATTTGAAAGCTTGTAGTGTACGTATTCGTTGATGAAAAACAAAATAAACTTGGGGTGTAAAGTATATTTTTATACAATTTAAGCTGCATTATTTTGAGTAAAATTAAATAAAGGTTTTTGGTATACATGGTTAATATGACCACAATGTCAATGGGGCTTCGCATAGCTCCCCGCGGTCACTGTAGACATATGCATCTCGCATGAATGATTCTTTCTTGTTAGTCATGCATGCATGCGCAGCACTCAAGCATAGAACATTATAAAATTACTTTCACCCGACTTGAGTATTGTAAGTCAATAGCCATTGAGATACTACCTACAGCAAAAATTATTGAGACAACCGCATAAGTGCCCCCCTCACCCCCAATTCAATGTTGTGTGGATGACTGAAAAGAGAAAATTCAAACCACTTTTTCCAACATTGATCATGGGGCAGGGGGGAGGCCGACGTACTTTAAAATGACCAAAAATGTGAAAAGTCTCATTATTTTTGCACGCGATTGTCTGAGATGGAGCTGTCTGGGGGTTAGCTGTCCACTATTTGAAATTTTGCCAAAATCTAGCGATCAAGATGACATGAGATTGACATATTTCAATCAATTAACCGAAAATTTTTTGTCCCCAAAAATGTAGAAATTCTGCAAAGAGGCTGCGCGAGAGGGGGGACCGGGCAAAAGTAAAGAAGCTTTTCTAACGAATTTAATTTTTACTATGTCATTTACTTACTAGAAAAAAATCTTTGGGAAAATAGACAAGTTGTAGGCTAAACATGATTTATTAAAATACTTTGCGATATAGTAACAACATATCCAATAAGCCATACAAATCTAATGTAGTGTCTTAACTACTCTTACGTCCTTTCAAGCTTAATTAGCCATCATTTCATCAGGAGGGAATCATTATATGAGAGTTCCTCAGCCTAGCCATATGACGAAAAATGAGAAAACTTTGTCATTTATGCTGCAGTATGTGCTGTTGTGCTTGTGGGATGTTCACCAACTAATCTAAAGTGATTAGTTCATGTAAATTTTATGCACCTGGCTTCATTAAGCAAACGCTGACACGTTACACACACGTTACACACACGTTACACTACACGTTACACCTACTTTTACATAATAATCTATATAGAAATATGACACGTTACACCAATTGTTTTTAAAAATAAATATATATATTTATTTTTAATAACAATTAGTGTAACCTGTGTAACGTGTCGTATCTCTATATGTTTCATTACAGATTATTATGTAACGTGTGGTGTAACGTGTGGTGTAACGTGTCTATAATCAGTACGTAAAAATAGATTGATATTTTGGAAAAAATAGTCTGAATTTTATTCCGATTATTTTATCAATCTTCTTCCAATGTATATATTCATCAATTAATCGTCCTTTCCTAACAAAAAATAACTATAGTTCTCAAGATCCCTATATTCTTTTTACATGAAGTACTCAGTTATAGAAAACCGTTAAAAAATACTATATAGCAAATTTTAAAAGGTTCACTAAGCAAGAAATCCAAGACAGCGTCTTCCCTGGAGCACTAAGTTGAATCAACATGAACGAATTGCGTTTTATTCAAAAGTACAAATAGAGACAATCAGGAGCAAAATTTATTGAGACAACCGCATAAGTGCCCCCCTCACCCCCAATTCAATGTTGTGTGGATGACTGAAAAGAGAAAATTCAAACCACTTTTTCCAACATGGATTGATCATGGGGGCAGGGGGAGGCCAACGCACTTTAAAATGGCCAAAATTCTGAAAAGTCTCATTATTTTTGCACGCGATTGTAGTGACACAATTTCGTCATAAGTCAATTAATGACACAGTTCCTCGTTTCTTCTTCGTTGCCTAAAATAAGGTGTCAGAGCCACCTTAAGTATTTATAAATAACGTACATGAAGTTTCCCTGAAAGATTGAAGTGAATTGTTGGAACTCAGAGGTTCTGATGTTGGAACTACTGTATTTGGATAGGGTCATCACGAAGTTATAGGGAAAGGTTCCGCGTGATTGGTTGATTATAACTACTGAATAAAACATAATAAAACTATGGAATAAATTTTAGAAAGTACGCGTGTCGCAAGCACTGAAGCCAATCATGGAAGGCAATAAGAGACCATGTTCATTTATATAGTTTTATAAATAAGTTTTAAAACTCATAATAGTTATTTTCTCATTGGTAAGTTCTCGAAGGATATATAGAATATACGAAAGCCGGATAGGGACTTCAGATTTCAAACTATAACAGATTTCAGAATCCGGAACTTAGAGTGCCAAACTTCAAGAGATATGTTCTTGTATTTCACTGAAGAGTCTTAAATTTTAGGTTATTATTTTTGTTTACTTATTTTTAATTTTTCCTATACCATACATAGTTACTTTTACTGTACTATTACGTAAATGGCACAAACGGTGTCCGATACAGGGCATAACCAGGTAAGATCAGGAAGACCTAATAAGTTACGTAACTGTTTGCAAACGTTCTGTACTATGCTGATGTTTATCCTTTCTTTGTCTTTTAATTGCAGCTATGATTTCCTATCGTGTATTCCGCTATGAAACTAAGGTTGTTGTAAAATCAATGCATTTTTGCTTGCAAGTAGCAGCATTTATCTTCGCCGTGGTCGGCTTGCTTGCAGTGTTTAGCGTTCGTAATCACCAGGGGGGAGAAAACATTACATCATTGCATTCTTGGATTGGAATGATTATTGTTGTTATCTTTGGTCTTCAGGTATGACTGAAACTCGTTATATATTGCTATCCAGTATAAACCAGACCGCTCCCACGGAAGAGGGGGGAGGGGCCTAAACTAAGAGTAAGGTTTGCCGTCTTGGGCACTCTCATCCAAAAAATTTGTTTTGAAAGACTCAGAAGAGCATTTTCTGCGTTTGCTGACAGCTAGGACATTTTGTCAAAGTTGTATATTGTACGTTCACTATACATGCTCTACTGTACTCTAGAGACTGGACTCTACTGGACTAACACAGTATTTTCTAGTATCATTTATCCAGTAGTTTATCATATGTCAATACAAATCAGTGTTTAAATACAAGTGTTTCGAATCTCTTTTACAGTTGTCATTTGGATTCATCGTGTTTGTTTTGCCTGGTGTTCCGGAGAAAACAAAAGAAGTATATCTGCGTTTTCACAAATTTTTTGGTGTTTCCATTTTTGTTGCTTCAATCGCTCAATGTTGTATTGGAATAGCACAACACAGCGTCGTCACGATAAAGTATGAAAAATTATAATTTATATTATGTTAACGGTGACCCTTGTTTGAAACGGCAACATTAATTAACCGTGACCATTGTTAACTTTGCGAGACTGAATAATTATCCAGGGGCGCCGGAGCCACGGGGAAGCTGCCCCCGTTGCCCCAACAAGAACTACACTTCGAATCGAACGTCGTGCGTTATTTACATGAATTATAATTGAGAATTGTTTTCAAGCGATTTAGCTCAAATTTGACCCTGCCTGGATTTGGGTAATTTGACTGGTGTGCTTGAAAATTGATATATAAGTACAGTAATACATTAATATGTACAAGTACAGTTGTGGTTGGTTTTCTTCTCAGCCCCGGTTTTACTCCCTCATCAAAAACTAAACCTTTCAACTTAGTTGTGCTCTGTGGTCAGACATGTATTAAAGCCTTCGGCTCGGTCACGTTTGAGCTGCGTCCTTCGTAATACACCCTTCCGGAAAGTAGGTGACTTTGGCTATAGAGCCTCGTTTTCGTGTACGTGGACATTAGGCTAACGTCTCAATCACAAAAACGAGGCTGTATTCTTGGGTTTCACTACAGCATTATGCAGTGAATCTGACGGGGGCTCAACCTGAAATGTATTGTAATTTGATGCTTATGCTGTTCTCGAGTGAGAAAATGATACGAAATTCCATGTATTTGCCATCAAACACAAGGCCAATACATAAAACGAACAATCGACTCACTCTGATAACTGTGTTTTGTTTTAGAGTTGACCCCCGTCACTTCTGTGACGTCATATGAAACCCAACAATAGCCAAAGCAATCTGCTTTCCGGAAGCTTATATGCAGCTGAGCACTCACCTGCAAGGAACTAGATGATTTGCATGCAATCTTGCCTTTACATTCACCATTGTGACTGGGCAGGGGCTTTAAATGTGGAAACTGAACAATAGACCTTATGCATAATGACGTCACAAGGCGTAATGCGTGCGGGGAATTCTGGTATCACAATCAAAACAATCCAACATGGCCACTGTCGTAGTGTGCTGATATAATCCTAATTAGGCTGTTTTCCATTAACGTTCGCTTTGCCCGCCCGGGCGAAGCGTTCATTGTTTTTGACACCCGTCACGCCCGCGTGAGCATATTTTCAAAGCCCGCTGCGCCCGCGCGGGCAAAGCGACTGCAATGGAAACCGGCTTTTATAGAGCCGGAAGACATCATTGGAATTTTGGTACGACATTTGACAAAACCTTCGAGAGGTTCAGATCAAATTTTGACTTCCACTGCCGCTACCACCATCACTAAGACCATTGCCTACACGCGTAAAAACACTGAGCCCGCTGTTTAACATGATTGAACAATGTTTTGCTGCCACGACGTTGTTCACACTTGTCGTTGTTCACACATATTGAACAATATTGTTGAGCCTGAATCGTGTGTAACAATATTGTTCAACATTGTTGACAACTGTGAATGTTGGCAGCAAAACATTGTTCAATCCTGTTTTCATCAACTATTGCAACAACCTGATCGTTTTAAGCCGTGTAATCAGATGTGTTTGATCTATCCGATTACTATGCCAGCGAGTGGTAGTCGGTAGTGGAAGTAAATCTGAACCTCTCTAGTACATGGAAGCTGACAGAATATACTTACGTTTTTAGTATTTTTCCTGACATTTTACCTCGTTTCCTAGATTGGTTATATGTATTGTTATATTAATAGGGAGACATTGGGAACCGAAGCGATGCTTGCAAACTTCCTGGGTTTAGTTCTGATCGTATTTTGTTTTTCTGTCCTTGCTGTTGTGATTCCTGACGAATTCCGTCGATTGACTGACAAAGAACGCGCCATTGTCATGTTGGAGAGATACGACTCGGAGTAGAAACTCAATTCATTAGTATTTGTTTTTGCCACATAGCAATCTGATTTGTTTTCACATTTAATATTTGTAGTTTGCTTGCTATAAGTTACCTAGAGACCTTCAGCATGCATTGATTCAAACTGTAGAGTTAAAATAACTATTGTAGTGGTGTAACGAGACCATTCCAAGAGGGAGGGGACGAAATTAGTGTCGACGGGGCAAAACTTTTCGGAACATCTATTTACAACATCAACCTACTCATTGGGGCGGGGGGGGGGGAGGGGTCGCTCGGTACGCCCCTGATTCTAGTCTACAATGGTCTACATATATTCTATTATATGACATATATTTTTTAACAGTAGATTTGGATATATAATACATAGTTTTATACTAATAAGTTTTACTCCAGTTTAATACCAGTTGCTCCTTATTAATTATTAACATGACCAAAAGTAATGTTATAACTCAGCCCTACTCGGTCCTACGATTATGAACGTCATGAATGGCCGACTGGCCTGGCCCAACTTGCAGTTACGATATGGTAGTATAATACTGAATTGTTTGATAGTTTATTAACTTTTATGTTCTTTGTAGATATTTATGAAACATCTGTAACTGTGTGAAAAATAAAATCTAATTTCATCAACATTGGTTGTGATAACCAACTTATTCTGCATGTGTTAAAGGTAGGGTACAGTCCGTATGTAAACAAAACCTTTGTTTACACTTCAGTATTCAAAATATTGAACTTTATTCGACAATTATTCATATTTTCATGCTTCTACGGTATAATAAATGATCAAGATAGAAAAATCAGGCTTTGCAAGAACATAAAATGAAATAGTGTTTATATCACGGCAGGAGACTCCTATGTGCGCATGCGCAGACCGGACTGTACCCTATCTTTAATTAAAGGAGTGTGTCAATTCACCAAACAGGAAGATAGGTGTTAAACTCTGCATTGTATAAACAATTCAAAATTTCGATCCACAAAATGTTTAGAAAGAATCCACGTAATACTGTCAGTCTTAGAGTCGTACTTGTTGTTTCCGTAAGGTTTTCTTTATAGGCCGTGGGCCAAAATTATTTCGCTTCGTGGCAACGTTAACCCCCTGGGGAATAGATTTTCTGTGGTTCAATGCATTGTATCATAGATGCTCAATTACCACAAAAAGTTCCCAAGCAAAAAACTTGCCAAACACCGAGAAAATGGGTGATCAGTGATTATCCTCTATTAAATTGTATTACAGCAAGAAAATGTGAAATTTTGTATTCAATAGAAAAACCGCATACGAGACTTTTAAACAGTTTTTTGATCCTTCAAATAGTCTTTGAGTTATTGCTGTTTTAAATGTGAAAATTGGACCAAAAATTCGCAATAAGGACTGGGTACTAGGTCAAAAACGCGTTTTGACAGCGTATAACTCGAATACAATTTGAGATATAAAAAAACTGTTTAAATGTCTTATACGTAGATTTTTGTAAGCTTTTTGATGATGCAAGTCATTTTTGTTGTAATTGAATACAAAATATCACATTTTCATGCTGCAATACAATTTAATAGAGGATAATCACTGATCACTTATTTTCTCGGTGTTTGGCAAGTTTTCTGCTTGGGAACTTTTTGTGGTGATTGAGCATCTATGTACTATGCATTGAACCACAGAAAATCTATTCCCCAAGGGGTTGCCACGAAATTGCTTTTCTAAGCACTTTTTCACACAACGGCCCACGGCCTGTTAATTTTGCACGTATCGAGACTAGTCGTGAAATCCTGAATCCTGCCATTTTCTTCTTCCTGCATACACAACTCTTTTAGCAAACCCGAAAACATGCATCTTTTTTTTTTTAACCTCGTGTTAAACCATGTCCGACTATTCAATGTTTTGGGGGCAAAATATGAGTTACTATGAAGGTATGTTTTACCTTTGCATGTCATTTGATTATAGCACACACCCTCGTCCCAACTTCATATGCATGCATGGTTGCAGCTTGGGTGCCGGTTGATGGGATAATTAAATTAACAAGGATTTTTGCTATTTTCGCGTTTGATTTTTTGTACATAAACCATGAACTTACAATCTAGCCAGTAGGCAAAAATTATTTGGAAACTCGTAAATATATGCGTCCAATGGTGGTTCCTTCCATTAATCCTTCCCTTCTCTCAAACAATGTTGAATGTTATTTGTCATCAAATCAGTAATATGCGAAAACATCATCATGAGAACTACTATTAGATCAGTGATGAGAACCGACATTGGAAAGAGTGGGGGATCAGTGTGTCCAATAAATGATAAGTTTTGTCTATATTGGTAAATTTTGCTAAATAAACTACAGGGTGTCCAAATGAGTTTTGCATTTACTGTTGCCCCGCATCTAATTTGGGGTTCTAACTTCTAACCAAAGCTTCAAAAAATAGAAAAAACCTTGCATGAATTGTATTTCTAATTTTCTATCTATATCTTGAAATATCTTGCTGTAATCTATCTATCTAAATATCTTGCTGTAATCTATCTATCTAAATATCTTGCTGTAATCGTTTGTCAAGAGACAGAAAATCGTTTTGCATGACAATCTCGTATCCAGAGTATGCCCGTTCGCAGCCTGCGAACGGGAATACTCTGGGTGATTGTCCGAATATAAAGTAAAGAAGGCGGAGCTTAATGTCATTGAAATATCTACCTCCTCCGTAGGCGCTTAGGGTGCATTTCGGGCAGGTTCGGAAAATGCGGGTTGTCGCCTTCCGTTCTTCCCTGATCTCAAATTTCACGCCCGCAAATTATTCCCGCCCGCATCGAAAGGCCGGCGGAGGAGGTAGTTGAAATATGATAAGTTGTTTAGATACTTCAGCGCAACCTCGTACCCAGGCTCTTACCTTCGCACGCCCTCCAGCTGCGGCGTGCGAAGGTAAGAGCCTGGGTCGAGGTTGGCTTCAGCGCCGTTGGTCTTGACCTATCAATTATTTTACAATTATTCAAATCTGATTAACAGTCAGACGAAAACAATTCCAAAGAACTTATCATATTTCAATGGCATTATAAAGCTCCGCCTTCTTTACTTTATATCCTGATGATGACTTAGTTGAAAGATCGGTTCAAATAAAAATGTTATTCGGAGTTACTGTTCTTTTGTATTTTATGCACATATCAATGTAAACCCCGTGGGGGGGGGGGGACAGTATAGGGGGTTTGATGACAAAACTCATCCCCTCCCTGGGACATTTTCTAACTTGCCTGTCCCCAGGATGGGGCGGTTTGAATTCCGGCCAGCCTGCTCGCAGGTTGAACTTATTAATGCGCATGAGCAGTGATGCGTAAAGTAAAATTTAAATCCAGCGTGGTCCTCTGAGCGTAATCGAAAGTGCTGTTTTGCAAAGGTTTTTCCAGTGGTTTTTACGTAATTGTATAAAAGGCAAGTTTAAATTTAAACCAGGATCAAAGTTATCTGTTTATGAAAACCAGAAAATAGCGTCGCATTGTACCATCGCCTCCAGTGTGAACTGACCTTTATGTTCATGTCAATTCATATTATTAAAAAGGATTTTCCCTTGTTTTGCTCAATGTTTATAAGTAAATTGGTGTTTTTAAAAAGCTTAAAATATGTAGCTCTTCTCCCGTGGATGGGGAAAGTTACCTTTATTCGACCGGAATTTTCTTTTCTCCCTGAGGGCATTTGTTTAGTTTTCTCATACTTTTGTCAAATCCTCCCTAGTCCCGGCCCCCCCACGGGATTTACATTGATAGGTGCATTACTCATGCAGTGGTTTACTAAATTTCATGACCCGAAATTATATTGAAGCAAATCAAGATCAAGTACCAAACAAACGACTGTTGTTTCATATTGTTGGGACTTGGGAATCCATCATGCATGCATGCATTTGGCATTTTTTATCACCATACATTTAGATCTTTTATCCAATATACTGATGTATAGCTAGTATAGTTTTTATTTTGCTAGCATAACTTGAACCAACCATCTTAGCTTTAGATTGCTCATTCCATGGGTATTACAAAATAAAATATATAAAATTCACTTTGTCATGAGAAACTTTCAGTGACAGTGCACTAAACAGAACACCTTTAATTAACAAGTGTCATGTTCGCACTAGCTTGCGAGGTTGGTTCGCACACAGCTCCGTGGCTGTATATAGTTGACTGAAGAGTGAAGTGACACATTATCTTAATTACACTGTCACATGAGACTCAGAAGACAGGAAGTCGCGTATAAATAAAGCACCAGCGAAGATTATAGGAAATTATTGATCAACACAATTTTGACTTGAGTAAAACAACGTGTTGCATTAAACGAAAATACAATGGCTTCAAATAAACGTATTAAGACTGCAGCGGTTATATCATGGATTTTGTCGATTACTGCAATAGCTCTGGTAATATACTGGATGGTACACTATAATGACGGTTATAAAGTTGACATATGGCATTTTCGTGACGCTAGAATCTTTAACTATCATCCACTGTTTATGGTAATAGCGTTTATTTTCCTTGCTCCGACAGGTTAGTGCATAATGTAAATATTAACAGGCATACATACATTACATATACAACTTGCAGGGCCGTAGCGATCGAAGAGGCTAAGGTTGGGACTTGGGGGTGTATAGTATCGCATTTGCCGACAACATTTCAGTCGCTATTAATTAACTTTCTATTTATTTTGGTTGGTGAGCCGAGGGGGAGGTAAAAAATTACGAAAACAATTTGCTGACGGCCCTGATATTATAATAGGGTTGCTAAAGATATGGTATACATATGCCCTGACAAGCTCGTTTACGGCGGACTCATTTTTCTCTGACGTCAGACTCCGTGTTTTCCATATGACTCCGTGTTTTCCACATTTTAAGACTCCGGGATCGGAGTTCCGGAGCCGGAGTCCCGGAGTCTTAAGCCTGGTTCACATTGATCGGCGATGTTCTACGATCCATTGTCTGTGAGCAACGAAGATGAAAATGCACAAAACATTTTATGATTCAATGACCACCGACAATGGGCGCCGATGTTTACGATAAATGTGAACCAGGCTTTAAAATGTGGAAAACACACGGAGTCATGGAAAACACAGAGTCTGACGTCAGAGAAAAATGAGTCCGCCGTAAAATATGTCTGACGTAAAAAATATGGAAAACACGGAGTCCGACGTATTGTAGTTTTTATTGTCAACGTGAATATGGAAAACAGTTTATAAAGCAAATGATATCGTTTTTCCTGTCGTATGATTTATTCAACCGTATTTAAAGTGATTTTAATGCCGATTTTGTTCACCCGTATGGTATGTTGTTGACTGTTGTTTATGATAGTTATATTTAACAATTATTCGCCTCAGGCCCGGTGATTATCGGGGATATTCGCCGAGACGTTTGTGTTTTTCTTGTCTGAATTAATTTTAATTTCGCTTATTTCTTTATCACTAACTTCAACAAAACGGCTAGCCGCCATTTTGAAAATTTAGCTAGATTTTGTTATATTCACCTGTAGGTGTACTGTTCAAAGATAATCAATATCCATGGCAAACTTTCAGTACTTGAGCGCCGCTATATCTCGTCAAAATGTCAAAGCCTAGTACTGCACACTATTGCCAAGGAGTTTTGTGTAATGAGCTTGAAATCAACTATGCGGAAATATTCTAACCAGTGTGTATATAACTATTTCAGTAAACAACAGTCGATCAACATACTCATACGGGGTGAACAAAATCGGCATTAAAATCACTTTAAATACGGTTGAATAAAGTCAAACGACAGGAGAAACGATGTCATTTGCTTGATTTTATTTAAGATATTTTCACGGCATTTTAGAGAAATAACTAGAAAATTCGTTCGCTTTGTTTATATTTGCAAAATTATATATTATTTAATTACTGTACTGTTTTCCATATTTCACGTTGACAATACGTCGGACTCTGTGTTTTCCATATTTTTTACGTCAGACTCCGTGTTTTCCATATTTTACGGCGGACTCCGTGTTTTCCATATGACTCCGTGTTTTCCATATTTTTCTGACGTCGACTCTGTGTTTTCCATATTTTACGGCGGACTCCGTGTTTTCCATATGACTCCGTGTTTTCCATATGACTCCGTGTTTTCCATATTTTTCTCTGACTCCGTGTTTTCCACATTTTAGTTAAGACTACGGGACTCCGACTCCGGGACTCCATTGTCAATATACAGTAAACGTCAGTATACAGTAAACATTGTCAATAGACTTAACACGGTTTTTTGAATTTGTTATGTCGAAAATCATGATTTTTCAAGCTTACCGTTTGCGGTAGTGGTCAACTAAAACCCAAGTTACCACTAAACATAGACGTTGCATCACTTGCATGATATATTTATGTTACTTGTGTTATATGTTCTACGCATTTGCCATTCACGCTACATTATTCAGTGCAGTGGAATCAATTTGTGCGACTATATTGTCAGTTTACTCATTGGACTGATGTGCTTGCGATCTGCGAGTACAAAGTTTTCGTTGCCCGCTCTATATAAACTCTAAGAAAAATATACACACCATACGCGTTAAGGCCCATACAGACCGGACGCGATTTGGCAACGCGGCGCGAATTTTCAATTTTCAATTAATGACAGTTAACTTTAATATTTTTCTATGTTTTTCAAATATTCGGAACCACTTAAGCAATTTTATGTATTTGGTCTGCATATTTTGTAAATTTTCTATCCGTTGACAGTTTTATCACTTTTTAAAAACTGAAAATTCGCGTCGCGTTGTCGAATCGCGTTCGGTCTGTATGGATCCACACCGGACGCGATTCGACAACGCGACGCGATTTTTCGATTTTCACTGACCGATAACTTTGATCCTAGTTTAAACTTTCCAAATATTTAGAAGCGTTATAACATTTTGAGTTATTTGGTCTACATATCTTTTAAAATTTGCTCTCATTGGGCTCGCGTTGTCGAATCGCGTCCGGTGTGTCTGGACCTTAAGCCAGGTTTCGTATGTCGCTGATGGTCGGCGATGCACTCATAGATAATTTTTTATGGTGATCATTGTCCATTGAAGGAGAAAAACTATTTCATGTAGACAAAGGATCTGATTTTACCGCATCAATGATCAAAGACAATGGTACTGAAAGACCATCCCAAAGAATGAGTATCAGGCCATTTGCAAACGAATTCAGTATCTTTTCCAGCGAAATCTGCCATGTTATAGTCCGCCAATCGCCATGATGGAAAACGTCAAAGTCCCCACCTCCGGGCTGAAATATTTCGGCAATAACCCCACCCCCGGGATTAGGAAACGCTGCGAAGGCCCGGGGGGATGGGCACTGCTGGAATTGACTGATACATAACAGGATTAGAATTGTACTTAATACATTGACAATCGCGGTGTTATAGGCTGTGACTGTGTAGTGTAAACGCCACACGATCAAAAAACAAAAACAATACAAGGAATCCGGATACACTTACGAATCCGAAAACTTTTGCTACTGTAAGTGTCATAATAACACTCTAACATGCATTAACATTAACCCTAACCCGCAACTAACGCACAGGGGTGGAAAAATATACACTTGGACCGCCCGCTGTAACTGTGTGATGTTGTCAAACTGAATGTCATGCTATAGTTTAAATTAACAGAAAAATATTAATTTCATTGCACCCAGAATCTTAATAACTTTTTAGCAATATAACATAAAACTAATTTAGATAACATGCATCAAGGGTGTGATCCTAAGGTGAATAGAGATGATAAAAAGGCACTACTAGGGGGCACCACCAGGGGGATCCATGCTCCCCAGGAAAATTTTGAAAATTAGACATTCCAGATTGGCTAAAAATGCATTTGCCATACTTGACATTTGTTACGTTATTCTATAGTCTACACATTTACGTTACACACTGTTACACCATAAAGATGGATGCACTTATAATCAAATCATTGCATTTCTGAGGTCATACTTACAGTGCAGGTAACATTCTTTCCATTAGTTCGAATTTTTCCTCTGAATTTCTCCTTTAATCTATTAAATTTTTACAATTATCCTTTTTTTCTTTCTTGGAGAAATATTTTCTGGGAACTCGAAAAATTTTCTGAAGGGACCAATGGCCCCGTGGTCCGATACTTTAGTCTTTTTCCACCCCTGCTAACGCCCCTGATTAATTATAAGTGAGTTAGTCAAATCCGAGATTGACCGATTTCGCTCAAGGGAAACAAAATCGGTCGAGGGAGCGGAAAATGATTGAAATATGGTTTGGGCAAATCAGACATATATGAAGCATGCACAAGTGTACCACATGAAGCGTGAAGACATATATTGTTTTGGAATATAACTACCAAAACAATTAAACAAACTAACCAACCGACTACCAAACTAACTGCCTAACAAATAATTCACGCATGCACTATAAACAAACTCACGCACCGAATATAAAGCCAAACTTCATTTGGGTACCGCAAAGCGATTTCGATATAGCACGGGGTTATATTGTAGTTATAGTTTATATGTATATGTATATGTACTGACAATATAGTTATTATATATTATTTGGGTGCCAGTGGATAAGGTTAAAATTGAAAAAGGAACAAAGCCATTTTACCGTATAACGAAAATTGTAAATTCTTTTACAAAGGTGAAAGGGTGCATTTGTAGAATCCATGGGCGGATAGATTTACTGGAGGGTTAGGGGATTAACCCTCCTAGATTCTCTCTAACCCCTCTAGATTCTCTCAACCCCACCAAAATTTCGCTTCACCCCTCCTATTTTGTCATTTTGTGTGACAATCTTTAACCTTAACGCTCAGTGTTGCCTCTAGAAATTTTTCCACCCCTCCTTTAAAAAAAAAAGAAAATCTGCCCTTGGTAGAATCACGCGTAGAAGCACGAGCCTATATGTAAGATTTGGTCTGTAAATTTTAGAAAGCCTGCAAAATTCGCTATCCGATGGATATGATCGCGAGCGCTTTACATATAGCGTCACAAAAAGTGACTCGATGGTATGGAGAACAGAGAGTTTGCCAAAATAATACGTAGTCAATCCGACAATAAAGCATTCCGATCACTGAATCATGACTAGATGGCACTATTGCTATGTTGTGTGTCATGTAAAGGGTCATTAATGAATGTAATCAGTACATGGGACCTTATGAGAGGAAAGAGCATATTGGAGAGGGATTGCATGCCACAATGTGTCCAAAGTAGGAATTTTGTTAATTTGCGCACCAGTGAGAGATCGAATCTTGGGAGAAATCGAATAAAATTTATTAATTGTTATTAATAATTATTTATTATTCTAGGTGCTGCAGTGTATCGCTTGTCCCCATCTTTTATCAGTAAATTTTGGCAGAAGATTATACATTTTTCGATACAATTTACAGCGTTAATATTTGCAAGTGTTGGTTTAGCCGCCGTCATAAAGGTTCATAATGATTATGGGAAAAACAATTTTATCAACGTTCATAGCTGGTGTGGCTTGGCCACGTTTGGCTTGTTTACTTTGCAGGTAAAACGTGAAAAATGTCTCTATACTATAGTATGTAATAGTTATTCTTTAGTGACCAATAATTCAACAGGAAAACCGATATTGATAGTGGACATTGAATGACAATGATTGTGTGTTTGGTTCACGAAATACTAATATACAAAATAAATAATGAATGTTTATTCGTGAAATAATGAATGAATGAATAAATAATGAATGTTTATTCGGTGAAAGATGGAATGTTCCATTCAACTCGGCTGTCGCCTCGTTGAATGGAACATTCCATCTTTCACCTCATGAAAATATTCTTACCATTGCACGAATAAAAAAAAATCATTATTTGTTTTATATAATACCAAAATAGACTAATATTAAAAGGTTTACTGTAAGCTCCCGCCATTTTGACGAGTCGTATTTGCATTAAATCCCATTTACTTAACATCCTACAACTTAAAAGTTATTGATATTTATCGATCCAGTTTGTACGAACTTATTGGTGTCACACTTCTGTTACCTACAGGAAACCGCATGTCGATATATGGCCTTTATCACCCACCTAGGCACAATTATCTGGACAGCGACTTATTGGATTATTTGATAAATATTTCTGACGACGTTCTGGACAAATATCCAGACACTGTAATTGTTTGTGGAGGGGATTTGAACAGTTTGGACATAAAACACCTTGAGGAACTATCAGGATGGGATGCAATGGTCGGGGTAACGCATGTTTGGATAACTGCCTTATTTAGTGGATATTCTGCCTCCGTTGGTTAGAATTGTAGTCCACCAAAGATCACAACAAAGTTTTATAAATTTATTATATTCTCTCAATCACAGTATATTAAATCACTCACGTCTCGGTCTTGCTATATGTTCCGTTTCTCTCTATTCTATATTATCAGTTCTGTCTCAGTTCTCTCTCACCTATTGACAGCCGTCACTCATCTAACTATATGATTAAAGATAGTCTATTAACTAAATAACTAATATTAACTATGAGATAATAAAACTTGACCTGTCTCCAACACACTCCCCCCATGAACTTGGGAGAAGTTCATGTTCTCTATAAAACCCAATCATGCATTTAAACAAAACATAACAAAATAAGAGTAAATATTTTACTAAAGTCAAATCTCATACTGTTCGAGTTCCATTGTTTCCTGGATCCTAGCATTTGCTGCGACTGCGGCATCTCTTCGTTGACGGAATGTCGGGGCGTTAGGGTTTAATTCCGAGACTTTTTCTTTTCCTTCTGTGCGTCGCAGGACAACTCTAGGGGATAAAGGTGTTGTACAGGACGTTCAAGTTCTCCTTTCTCCGTTGTAAGCTTCACAGCTCGCGTCACTCCATCTTTACCAGGGAATGTTTCGGTCACCACTGCCAGAGGCCAGCAGCCGCGGTTCTTGTCATCGGTCCGAATGATTACAACGTCCCCTTTGGCGACTTGGAAACCCGTGTTTCCAGACATCATGTTGTGGCGTTCTCTTAGTGCTGTCAGATATTCTCGTCTCCACCTATTCCACAGCTGGTCTTTGCAGTTTCTTAGGAACTTCAGTCTCTTTCGGAGATCTCTGTTCTCTTCGTTGGGAGGTTGAGCTTCTGGCAGTTGGTTGAGTCTCTGGAATAGAAAACTTGCTGGAGTTAGCACCGGTAACTCCACATCATCTTCAACGTAGCTCAAGGGACGACGGTTTATCTGATTCTCTACGTCAAGTAACACTTTGCTCAGCTCGTTCCAATGCAAAATTCCTTTCCCGATCACTTTTCTCATTGCACCTTTAACCACTCCGATAAGCCGTTCCAACTGTCCTCCCCACCAGGGGGCTCGAGACAGATTAAAGATCCACTTGATGTCATTCTCTTTGAGGTGGTTGAGAACACGCTCGTCCTTTTGAGTTTTCTTAAGCCATTTTGCTGCTTTTATGAACGTACCACCGTTGTCAGAATAGATCACCCAAGGTCTGCCGCGTCGACCAATGAATATTTTCAAACAGGGAACGAATGTTTCTGTCGTTAGATCAGGAAGTAGTTCCAAATAAATTCCTCGAGATAAACTACATCCAAAGATTACTAGATAGGCTTTCGACTCTTTCTTGGTTTTCTTGTACCGAATTGGCCCAGCAAAATCGACTCCTACGACTTCGAACGCTGTTTTCCCGTCTGTTCGATTTGTTGGAAGATAGCCTGTTGCTGGAGTCTTGATCGCTATTGTCCGAAACCATTTGCATCCCCAGCATTCGCTTCGTATTGTTTTCACCAGTCGTCGTAGTTTCGGAACCCAATACGTCTCTCTTATAGCAGCCATGGTCAGACCGACACCGCCGTGTAAGGTGTTGATGTGAATTCTCCCGACTAACTTCTTTGTGAATGTTGCTTTCGTTGGCAGGTAAATTGGGTGTGCTCCTTGTACTCTACCATGGCATACCAACATCCTGTCCTGGTTCTCTTTAAGGTTGAGAACTTGCTTCGTTTGGGCGAACTGGAGACTTTTGCTGTTCTCACACTGGATGCGTTTGATCCACCATCGTTTCGCCTCTTCCGTTTCTGAAGGATTCAAAGGGCCCTTTCGTTTCTCAAGGTTCTTGCAATTGTGGACAAATCGGAGTATCCAGGCAGTGACTCTCAGCGTTGTACGCAATTCGTTTCTTTCTAAAACAAGATCTAAGTCATCGCTTTCGTTCGTTGTCTGTGTTGTGTACAAGATCTTGCGGACGATCTTTGCCTCAGCTTGCGATTGTTTCGATGATTGGATGATTGGACTTTCTGGCCAATTCTCAGGCGTTCCTAACCACTTTGGACCGTTCAACCACAGCTCCGTTAACTGCCCTCCTCTGCTTCCCAGATCTGCGGGGTTCCGATTTGTTGGAACATAATGCCACTTGACTGAGGTGTGAGAACGAACCTTTGCAACATGGTTTGCAACAAACTGCCGATATTCACCCGTTCCTTCGATCCAGTAGAGGGCAACAGTACTGTCCGACCAACAGTGTTGTTCGGTGACCTTGTCTTCTCCAATTGCTTTCGCAACATTTTTCACTAGATTCACCGCCATGTGCCCCGCAATAAGTTCTAGTCTTGGAATAGTAAGTCCTCTCTTCGCCAGACGTGATTTGGCCGCGATAAGCATTTGTGTCTCTCCCGAATCTTGTTTGCTCACCCCGTAAACAGCAGCAGAAACTCCTTGACCACTCGCGTCTCCGAAAGCATGGAGGTGGATTTCTGTTATGGGTTCACGGTATGCAGCTATTGATCTTGGTACGGTCACAGATAAGGGCATTGATTGTTCCCATGACAACCATCGTCTTCGTAGATTACCTTCGAGTTCTGCATCCCACGGTAACTTTGTATCACAGATCTCCCGATAGATCAATTTTCCTTGTAAGGTAATAGGAGATGCAAGCCCTAGTGGATCGTAGGTCTTCGCGAGTCTACTTAATATTTCTCGTTTGGTTGGCGTCTTGCTCTCTTCGTTTGGAAACAGAACACTTAGTGTGTCGCTTACTTTGTTCCACGGCAATCCGAGGATCTTGGATTCTTGTGGATTTACTCCCAGCTGTTGCTTCGCAGCTGTTTGGTCTTCGATTACTTCGGACTCATCGTCGTTGTCTTCAAGTGCACTTACGTTCGAAGCCCATTTATGGAGTTTGAAGGTTGCGTCTTCGAGAATGACGGTTGCTGCTTCTTTCCGAGCTTTCGCTTGTTCCACAGATTCCCCTCCACTTATGATGTCATCAACGTAAAGACACCGTTCTAGTTCTTCTACGTCATCAGGTCGTTCACGTTTCCATAGTTCTAGGTGTAAAGCTATGACTCCCCCGAGAAGAAATGGCGATGAGACGAGGCCAAACAGGACTCTAGTAAACCGAAGGATCCGTAACTCACCGTTCTTTGTCGTCCAGTGGAACCGTAGTGCATCGCGTTTCGTTTCTCTGATGCGGATCTGAAGAAATGCTTTCGTGATGTCTCCCGTTAAAGCAACTGGAAAAGTTCGCTGTCGTACGAGGACTTCCCACATCTTATTTTGTAAGGGTGGTCCAGGGTTAAGGCAATCGTTCAATGAAGGATCTTTTGGGGATGGTTTCGCGGACGCGTCGTACACCACTCGGAGCTTTGTCGTGGCAGCGCTTTCTCGGATGACTTCCTTGTGGGGTATATAGAACTCGACTCCCGTCACTTGCGGTGGTGCTTCTTCGACAATTCCTTGTTGAATTTGGTCTTCAATCACAGCGGCGTAAGGTTCTGTGAGATCTCGTTTTTTCAGCCGGTTTTGAAAAGCGGTAAGCCGTCGCAAACTTCCTTCCCGGTTGTCCTTAAGGGGTGGATGGTTCCCTCTCCACGGTAGTCCCGTCTCGTACCAACCTTCAGGTGATCTGTTCAACTGCTCTTTGAATTCTTCGTAAACTGTCAATTGGTCGTGTTCGCTTTTATCTTCGAGTCCAAGCACATCTAATCGACAGAGGGCTTCATAATCAGCTTGGGAAGTTTGGGTCAACAACATTTTCGCTTCGTCGAACTCGGTACCAGGACTCATCACAAACCAACCCAGTTTTGTAAGTTCGGCTATTGGCTCTCCTTCGTTTCCAACTCGTGGTCTCTCTTGAGTTTTGACACGTGCATACTCTCCACTTCCCAGGACGACGTGGATTGGAAGGGATTTCTTGGTCTCGGTCTCGTTCAGTTTTAACTCGTTCAGATGTTGATACTTCTGCAGAAGATTCTTGTATTGGGGGTTATCGACAACTAATAACTGACTCTTATTTACTTTCGTCAAGTTCGTTTCGAGTTCATAATTCGAGTCAAGTGCTTGCACCTTGACTTTATAAACCTCGAGATGGGTAACCTGTGACGTCATCAACATGTCAATTCGGGTGGTTTTTGTTTCCATGGGCTTTAGTTTTAGGGCATCTATTAATTTCGCAGAAGCATAGGAGCTTCCTGCACCAGAATCTATAAGTGCTCTGCATGTTACACCGTTGACGTTTACGACTACGACTGGAAGAATAGCCTCGCTTCCGGTTTTACTTGTCATACCCATCAGGTTGACCTTCGAATTGGTATCACAGATGGACGTATGATGTCTCTTTTCGCAGTTTTGGCATGAACGCTTGCTTGGACAGTTCGATGCTTTGTGGTTACCGGCTGCGCAGTTAAAACAAAGTTTTTTCTTCGCTAAAATCTCCTTGCGAGCACTAACGTCGGTAATTTTGCTACACGAAACGGTTTTGTGGTCTCCCCCCTCGCAATATGCACACGTACGCTCTGGCGCTTTCGAGAAAAGCAACTTTCTTGATTTTTCGTGCTTCCACGATTTGTTTTCATCCCTTTCATTTGTTTCAAAGATCGGGTTCCTTCGTGCCCATAATCGGAGAGCTTCGGATAATTTTGAGAAGTCCCAGTCTTCCCAATCTGGATCTGTGCGCACTAAATCCCCCCTGATCGCTTGAAGTTTATCCAAGGTCATGGGTACATAACCATTCACCGTCTCTAATTTCTTTAGGGTTTGAAGTGCTTGGACAGCATGCATCAACTGATCGTTAAATTGATGTATTTTCTTAAGATTAACTTGATTGATAGTTGGCAGATCCATAATTAGTTTGACGTAAGCCTTAATAACTTCTGAATTCTTGCCATACCTATCTTGAAGTATGGCTTTGGCGCGATTATAACCCTCGGGGTCGAAAGGTAAGCCTTCGATGATAGTTTTAACTTTGGGCGACAAAAACCCACACAAATAGGCAAATTTATTCACCGGTGCTATTGAACGTTTGTCCACA